AAAACGTAGGGAGGAAACCACGGGCCGACGACTTGGGTAGACGGGTTTGACTACGCCGGAAGATTCGACGCCAACAGTGTTAGCGGGGAGAGCGGGTGCCAAGGCGGCCGGAAGCGATCGCGGCGGTTAGAGCGGCGCCAGTTCCAGATAGTTGGGGCGACGGCGAGGTACTGGGAGCTGACTGCAAGAACGGGGGTATCCCGGAAGGCGGCGGCGGCAAGGGCGGAGACGAGGGCGGAGGTTGCGAGGGCGGAGGGGCGGGCGGCGGCGGCGAGGGCGTCTGCAGCGGCGGCGGCGGGGAGGGAAGGTGCGTTGGCGGCGGTGGCGACGGCGGCGGTGAGGGCGGCGGCAGCTGCGGCGGCGTGGAGGGAGGGTGCGAGATCGGCTGTGGCGATGGTGGCCCTGGCGGCGGCGGCGTCTGGCTCGGCAGACTCGGTGGCGATGCGCAGGGCGTCGGCGGGCTTGGTTGTGGTGACGGGCAGAGCCTTGCCGTCATCGGTATCACATAGACATCGTATAGCACGTCGGACGGCCAGAAGTCGTGGCACGTTGCGGTGAGGCGGCACCATTGCTTCCCCTCGTGGTAGAGATTGTGCTTGCACGGATCCTCCGGCTCCCAGAACGAGAGGTAGTTGCAGGCGGGGTCGGTGTGGCACATGCGGTGACACTCTTCTCTGATCTCGTCGGAGGAGGCGCCGCTTACCCAGCCCCCGAATATCTCCTCGTCGTGGCAAAAGCGTTTGTCTGGGGTGGGCTCAAGCACGAGGCAAGGCTCCAGAGGCAGCGGCGGTGAGGGCGGCGGCAGTGGTGGTGGCGGCGGCGGGGTGGCGGGAGGCGAGGGCGAGAGCGGCGGCATGCCGGAAGGCGGCGGCGGCGAGGGTGGAGGCGAGGGCGGAGGCGAGGGCGGAGGCGAGGGCGGAGGCGAGGGCGGATGCGAGGGCGGCGGCGGCGAGGGCGAAGGGGCGGGCGGCGGCGACGAGGACGGCTGCAGCGGCGGCGGCGGGGAGGGAGGGTGCGAGGGCGGCGGTGGCGAGGGCGGCAGCAAGATCGGCGGCAGTGCAGGTGGTGGCGGCGGCGGCGGGGTGACGGGAGGCGAGGGCGAGAGCGGCGGCATGCCGGAAGGCGGCGGCGGCGAGGGCGGAGGCGAGGGCGGAGGCGAGGGCGGAGGTGGCGAGGGCGAAGGGGCGGGCGGCGGCGGCGAGGGCGTCTGCAGCGGCGGCGGCGGGGAGGGAAGGTGCGAGGGCGGCGGTGGCGAGGGCGGCGGTGAGGGCGGCGGCAGTGCAGGTGGCGGCGGCGGCGGGGGGGTGACGGGAGGCGAGGGCGAGAGCGGCGGCATGACGGAAGGCGGCGGAGGCGAGGGCGGAGGCGAGGGCGGAGGTAGCGAGGGCTGCGGCGCGGGCGGCGGCGGCGAGGGCGGCTGCAGCGGCGGCGGCGGGGAGGGAGGGTGCGAGGGCGGCGGTGGCGAGGGCGGCGGTGCGGGCGGCGGCAGTGCGGGTGGCGGCGGCGGCGGCGGGGTGACGGGAGGCGAGGGCGAGAGCGGCGGCATGCCGGAAGGCGGCGGCAACGAGGGCGGAGGCGAGGGCGGAGGCGAGGACGGCGGCGGCGCGGGCGGCGGCGGCGAGGGCGGAAGGGCGGGCGGCGGCTTCGAGGGCGGCTGCAGCGGCGGCGGCAGGGAGGGAGGGTGCGA